GTTGGAAGGACCAAGTGGAGAAGGACCTGGCTTCACTTGGAATATCTAATTGGCGCCACGTAGCGAAAAGAAGAAACGACTGGCGCGCTGTTGTTATCTCGGCTATAATCGCGTAAGCGGTAACTACGCCAATCAAGAAGAAGAAAGGTCTCGCTGTCTCTTAATTCGCTCATCGTTGCATCGACTGTTGCCAAAGTTCAAAGGACTCTGCATCATATAGCAGGAYGTGGATGATGAGTGACTTGTAGAGTTTGGTTATTGATCGTCGAGAGAAAATTTGACTTTTCAATTGCTTACTCAGTCCGAAATACCATCTGTTCATAARATAAACAAAATTATCTACGACTTCTAAGTTACGACTGTCAACAGTGACGTGGAAGTCAAGTCGCGATTGCGACGAGTGTTTGTTTAATGACAGGATAAATTTCGTCTTTCCCTCATCCACTACCAGACCCATTTGCTTCCCTTCCATATTCATTCTGGAGACAGCAGAGCTAAAGCCGCGGTTGTTGATTTCATTCATATCAATATCATCGGCGTACACCAGCAGCGGTACACTCTTATAAAAGATTGTGCTTTCTCGATTCAGCTCTGCAGCTCGAATTATTTTCTCCATCAGTAAATTGAAGAAGTTGCACAAAAACGTATGMATTTTTACAAAGACGACGTCGAGTAGAGGYCTCAAAAGCGACGTTTGGYAACAYAGCTGAGAACATTACATTCAYTAARCCTATTTTTGCTAGTGACCAGACGTGGGTTCATATGAAGTGGAAATTGTCCAACAATATAGGGAATGACGCTCCAAAAATCAGCAGACACCGAGAGAAATAAAACTTGCTGAAAGCACTCAATTCCAACCCAGCCGTGGCATATGACAAGTGTTTCGAAAATTGGATTAAATGTCGACTTGAAAGGATATTTTAAAGGCGATTATATAGATTTATATTCAAATACGTGGAAATGCTAACAATTCCAGTTTTCTTGTGAAAGAAACTTTTTAGCCTTTTGGATTGCTTCGTTTTTACTTCTGAAATCATGATATAATGTTATCCATCTGTTTGTCTTTTAAGTACTCACAAACTGTTGGTGTGGACTGTTGTTTTCTCAAAATAAAAATGTAAAAGAATATTTAATTAATAGCGGCAATAAAATTTGTAGCGACATAGCATTTGGAGTTTGACAACGGCCAAAGAATGTTCCACATAACCGAAGTAAAAAGTCGTAAAAGTAAAATAAAATAAAATAGATTAAAAAACTCCATAGTCATTCGCTCGCTACTGAAGAATGTGGATTTGTTCGGCAATTGCAAATAGGTTGTTCTGCGTGCTAGAAATAAGTATTATATTATAATTAACGCTTCAATGCTACGGTAACACCAATAAGATCGTGTTTCCATATACATACATATGTATAGATTTGAGAGATTATTTCATAAAAGAGTCTGCCCAAATCAGCGGTTCCAACTACAGGCGCCGTRTTGATGTTTGTGCTTTAAAGAAATTAATAAAAATTTTTACAAAAAATAAAAAGAAACAAAAATTACAAAGAAAAGTACAGAATGTCGTTGTGGTTTACGTGAGTACCTGCCTACGAAGGCCTAACCTCACAGTGCTTTCTATTGCTAGAAGCACGTAGATCAATACAATGCGTTGATCAGCGCCCCAAAGCATAAATGCATTTTGCATTTAATTTCTGGTTCCAATTGGTTCGAGTGGATAGGGACACCCTAGTCACCTTGGTCGGGTTCGARGCCCATTTAAAACCTCTGCTGTACTTTGGGTCCGGCAYCCGGCCGCAGTGSSCAGCCACCACGAATCTCCCCAAAGGGCCAAACCCAATGAGCAGATTGGAGTTACCTCCAAGGGCTAACTGCTACCCGTGGTAASAAGTTTAAGTCTTTGGTCTGACTTTGTAGCTTTTGCTACTACCAGTTGAGTCCCCCTAAACTCAATGACTGGTTGCATTTGTAGCTGTGACAAATGCTTTATATTTTGTGATATAAATATAAAGCTTAGAATTTGACTTCCAGAATATTATAGTACTTTTCTGACTTAGACCATGTTGATATCAAACCATGACCTGTATATCAGATAGTGCATATGGCTTTTATTCGACAGGCACGCCTTGCCGCGGGTATATTCGGTTTCCCCTCGAACCCCTGAGCGGTCCCGCCTACCCGCAGGGGAAAAAGAAAAGTACAGTAAATCATAAAAAATAACTTCTAATATACAACAATGCATAATTGTCTATATATTGTATATTTGTTTATATACTAGTACGAGTAAATGTCCGCCAATTGGGGGCCCGTCTAGCATTTGCCCATTTACTTGTTTCGCGCATGCGCAACTATACCGAACGAAACGTGTGATGCATATTACGAAATGTTGCGGCYCACTTGGTGGTGCTAATCCAAAAAGCGAAAAAAGATAAACAATTTAAATCAACTAAATGATTACGAATTGTCGGCATAGAATACAACTGAACAAAAATACAATTTTGTATGTTTATATTTACACGTTTCGTCAGTTATGCAGGTCTCTTAGTAGTGACTTGCAAAATATGCGAAATGCTACGAAAATTTAACGGTTTTTACCATAAATGGTCAACGTCTAAATATTTAGTTCCGCAAATATTCAGGTGACATGCGTTTGACGTRTTACAAGCTCATGTTCTGCACTTGAGCGGAAAAATCTCAAACGATGAAAGCACATTTGTTTGAATGAAACTGTGTGTTTATGTTTCGATATAATATTTATCTAAATTCAATAGACTGCCTAACTCGCAACGTTACAATCGACCATGGATGGAAAAGATACCGAGAGTTGAAGAGGAAAGCGAGACGCATTTGCAGACAGRAAAAGARAGAGGCCAAAATGCGTGAGTACGAAGAGCTTGACAAGCTGGCCGACAAGGGTAATGCGCGAAAATTYCACAAAAAGATGCGGCGACTAATAAAAACTTTCAAGACGAGAGCATTCTCTTGTAAAACCCACAGAAGTGATCTAATGAGTGATGCCCAGAGCATACTGAAATGATGGAGGGAACACTCCTCCAGCCTACTGAATGGCAGTGAAAGTATAACASCAGGAAATTGTGAACTTGATTCTACAACCGATGACGATAAATMAGACGTTCTATTGCCCGACTATGAAGAAGTTCGAATAGCGATTGCCCGTCTGAAGAACAACAACGTGGCGGTGCCAATGGATTGCCCGCAGAGCTCTTCAAATATGGCGGCGAAGAACTGTTAAAGAGCATGCATCAGCTCTTTGTAGAATATGGATTAGAATTTAAGTGTGCTTTGCCCAAACCACGAAAAGGAGACCCCACTATCTGCGCCAACAACCGTGGATTAAGCCTCCTCAACATTACGGTTTTATCGAGCGTATTGTGTGAAAGACTAAAGCTCTCCGTCAACAAATTGATTGTAGTTTATCAGTGTGGCTTCAGACCTGGAAAATCAGCAACTGACCAGATATTTACCATGCGCCAAATTTCGGAAAAGATTCGTGAAAAGAGGATCGACACACACCACTTTTTCATCAATTTTAAAGCTCCTTTTGACAGCAGAAAAAGGCCGCTATGTCCCCACCAAAAGCTCCGTCAGGATCAGTAAAGASCTTTTCGCGCCGTTTGATACCAAACGAAGTTTCAGGAAAGGCAACTACCTATCTTGTGATCTGAATAGAGTGTACAGCTGTTGGCATTCGCCGATGATATTGATATCATTTTCCTCAACAACCGCATTTTTCTCCAGACGGGATAATGCAGCGAAACAAATGCGTGTGGTAGTGAACAAGGCCAACACGAAATATCTACTTTCATCAAAACAACAGACGTCTCACTTGATACTTGGCTGCTACGTCACTGTTGACAGWAATAACTTCGAAGTCRTAGATCTATTTTGGAACCAGCATTAACTTCAACAAAAATGTCAGCCTCGAAAGCCAACGCAGAATAACTCTAGGCCATTAAGAAAATCCTCTCCGTCCTCCTATACGGTTCTGAGGTATCGACGATGACAACATCTGATGAGTCACTGTTACTAGCTTTCGAGAGAAAGGCTCTGCGGAAGATTTATGGTCCTTTGCGAATCGGCAACGGCGAATATCACATTCGACGGAACGATGAGCTGTATAACGAAGACATTGAGATAGTTCAGCGAATTGAAAAACARCGGTTACGCTGGGTAGATCATGTAGTCCGAATAGATAAAAACACTCTAGCTCCGAAAGTATTCGACGCAGTACCCGCCGTGGGAAGCAGAGCAAGAGTAATACTTCCACCCGGTTGGAAAATTTCAGTGGATAAGGACCTGTCTTAACTTGGAACCTCCAATTGCCGCCAAACAGCGAAAAGGAATAACGATTATCGCGCTGATGTAAATTTGGCTACAACCGCGTATGCTGTGTCTACATAAATAAAGAAGAAGAATATATATCTGTTCTAACAACAGTCGTTCCTAAGGAACTCCTAATTTTATCCGGCCAAATCCTTGGAAAACATTTCTGCTGTAACAAATTCTTGGTACTATTTCTTTATTTCAATCTTCTTTCAGCCAACATCCCACATATTTTTCCATCAATTATATATATGTGTATGCGCAAGTGATAATAACATGAGATCTGACAGTTAATTTCTTGTACGTGCTTAAAATAATTTAAAGTTCAGCGATGAACGTGACAAGTTGACATAACGAGTCGCACATCCGATTACTGAGGAACGTTATTTTCCATCACACGATCAGTTGGCTTCAGCAGCGGCGTACTTACTCCAACCCACCAATTTACGTGTGCGCAATGCAAAACTTTTTTTTTTTTATAGAATGGTGAATGGTAAAAAATAATAATAAAAAAATTGGTGCAAGTTTAAGGTTAACCAATAAACTGGTGAATAAATGTAAAAGCATGCAGGGAAGGGCTAAATTCGAATGTAACTGAACATTTTATACCCTCGCAACTTTCAAGTATCAAGGCTGGGAATTTAATTTTTTTAAATTTCAATAGTATACCTGACAAATCGACTGATATTTTCAGTAAAAAGTTCGCAATATTAGCTGGGGTCCACTTGTTCGGTATCTGGGAGCTTGAATAGTTTTGATGCGACTTGGATAACTTTTATTCATAAGGCGGCGCACCTCAAAGACACTATTCTGTTTATGCGAATGCAATCCTTGGCTCTTGATTTGTATACTGGAAAGTGTAAGAATGATAGGAAGTTTAGAATTGTGTTGTATAGGAAGTGGGTGTAGTTGTATTGTCCGATTACGGCCATCYACKAACTCGTTCTTCCTTTTTTGCCAAGGAAMTYGTAAGTATATCAAGTTTCATGGTTGGACATGAATATTTTTGTTTTTAGAAGGTACACGATYCTTATTGTCCGCTAAAGTACACGCCCCGACTGTATTAAATAACTATGYTGGACTTGCGGAACAGTATGCCTACGTACCTTAAGCTGGACGATAAGTGCCTCTTCACACACACAGGGTTATTAATGGGGTCGTATGCTCTCCAATGCCGTTCTTTCATTGTTAGTTCTTGGAGTGCTATTGCGACCCACTTTTTCATTTTATCCAATACCCTTTCCCGTTTTTGTTTTTGCTTAGTCTGAAATTTTGGAGCGTTACTTTCTTCAATTTCTTTTAATAAAAATAAATATATCTGTATATTATATATACAAGTGAGTTGTGTTAGTTACACCATTTATAACTCAATAAACAGCTGCACTTATTTGGCTGACAATTAGTGGTGAGGTAGCTTAGAACCAGGGTAAGGACATAGGATACTTTTTATCTTTTTATGTTAAAATTTAATGCAACAATAAATACAAAAATTATATTTCAAATCATAAGCATTTGTTCAAAATTCATGTTTGTAGGAATCATTTGAATATATGGGTACAATTTTAAACAAATTCTTCTTTTAATACAATTGCTAAGTATTTTGAATAGTAGAAAAGAACTGCAACAATATTATAACTGGCTCAGTAATCAGTTGTTGAGTATGTATTATACCATGTGTATCCCAAAATTTTGATGTCAAAACCTTTCCAGCCGAATTTTTCGTCTTTCCACGCCTGAGAATCGTTTTATCATGTGCAGTCCACTAGAATGACTGTCGATTGGACTAAAGTGGGAAATGATGGAGCTATGYTTCTATTGTCACAAACCGACGCAAAAATTCGRTTTTATTACGTTTAAAGAGCACTCAAACACTTCTCAGAATCAGTTATTCGTTGTTTTTGTTGGATTATAAACTTGCGAGGCACCCACTTTGCACAGAGCTGTCGCCTCTTTACAGCATCATTTCGCCTGTTTTCAGCTTAGCAAATATCTTTTCAACAGTGGATTTCCCTGAGCCCAAATTCAACAGTATTTTCCCCCAAAAAGCAATGCTTTATTAACACACGAAATGCTTTATGATCCACTTTTTTGTAATCTAACACAAGTGGCTTCAAAAAATGCTATATCTCATTAACTAATAGTTGTAATCTAACTAATAGAAATCATATAGATGGTAGTAGTAGTATTATCTATGTATCAGCCACTGTGAAGCGTGGACGGGTCTTCTAGTATAATATTATATATAATAGACGGTTATTTTTTTGTTAAAATATTTTTTTTATTACAACTTTAAGCAGTACTTTGTTTAAGACTATGTTCTAGCAATTAAAATAAGAATATGATGTATAAAAATACGTATGTATGCATATATGTAAATATTTATGTTGGCGCAAATCACGAAATATTAATAACTAAATCTTTCTTGAAGGATTTAGGTAAGCCTAGACTCAAAATCCCATAGTTCAGGAACAGTTGGAAAAAAAACACTGTTATAAAATATACCGATGAGGCGGAAAACTAATTGCGGTACATCCCGTAAGGCGGGTGTACTCTCTTCTTTGATAACGCCGATGGCCGCTATAATTTGCTGTTTTATGTCTGCGAATTTCTTGTTAGCCAATAGCACCGTTAATTCATGTAACGACAGCTCGAATTCGGAACTTGGATATGGGCCAGTGGAACTAAAAGAATAATTGTTAGTTAGTTGGTTATAAGATTTGCGATTTCTACATCAGATAGTTCGATACTTTACCTCGTATCTGGAAATAAGGAATACAGAACGCAGGCTAAGCAACGTGACAGTGCTTTGCGCCTTAAAAAAAAAAACGTTTTAAGTTAAAAGTTTTGCAAAATTATTAGAAAATTATGCATACTTATTTGTCACAACGTCAGTTTTCAGACCAATAGCGCCCAACAGCGTGTCACCCCACCCCTCGGATTGTGTAGATGTCAGGCACATATAGGAGGCGAACATAAATAATACTTTCTTTACATTTTGTGTCTCAYAAAGTATCTGGCAGCCACGTGAAATGATCGCACACCAAACCAACGCTAAACGTGGCTCTGTGTATGGGCTAGAGGGTGAATAACACAACTATRGAGTTTGAAAAAGTATTTGTAAGTAGAGCTTCCACACTTACTTCGTTTTACAGCCCTCCACTAGCTGGCACACATCCTGCAGGAAGGTAATTTTATCACCGATATTTGTAATCTGTTCCATTTTATGTATGAAGAACATGTGAAGCGTTAAAAAGAATGGACCACGCAAGATAGGCATCAAGTCCATTTTACTGAAGGACGGTTCCAATATCTGGCGCAACGCTTTCCAGTTGGGTTTGTGCCAATCTTGTGACTCTGCTGTTGTACGGAAGTAATGCGCAATGGTGGATTCCAAAAGTGGATAAGTGCCAGTCACAAAGGTTTTCATATGACCAATAGCGTTCAATGTGCTACAAAGTAGAAAATTGCCAGATTCGCATTGCGCTTGCCATTGGATCAGTGTGTCCACTAATTGGCTAAAATTATAGCAAATGATGAGATTAAGTCGGTTAACCGATTTGCTTAAATAGCTACTTACTTTGATGTCTCCAACCGTTGTGTTTGCATAGGCACCATTATTTCCACCATAAGATTTAAGGCCTCGCGTTTTTGTTCGTCGATGGTTTTGCTGCCAACAGTCGCACGCACAGCTCTATCAAGCGTGTTGAGAAGTTTSGTGAAGGCTGCGTTTAATGCATTCATGCCTTCTTTTGTGTTCATGAGCTTCGGATTTTTCGTTACTGTTAGACATAACAAAACAATGTAATTACGTGTGTAGAGTATGCGCTTTGCCGTAGCATAATGTATGGGCTGCATTATAGCTTCCCAGGATGTGGCCTGCTCAGGCATCAAGGCACAGCTAAGACGCAGTAAGCTACAGTACGAATAAATGAATATCGCAAATATTAAAAACCAAAAAAATTAACTTAAAATTTTCTTTATGAAATTAAAACAAAAAACTTACTCCAACACGGCTCTGTCGGCATAGTTCGTTTCCGTCGGCATTTGCAGTATGATGGGGTAATCTATTGTGGTAACAAACCATTTAAAAAGGCTCTCCAGCGTTGTGTAGCTCACCATATACCAAGGAAACTTGATGGCATCCTCTAATATTTTACTTGTATTTATATTTATGTGTATGTTTGGTTCGAAGGAAATTTTCACGAACACCGTAAACAGTCGTGAAATGACTTCAGTTCGCATATTACTTGGTATCGTTGGATATGTTTCCTCGAACCACGCAATCCAATTGATGCGTATAAATATGTGTCCCATCATGGCGTGTGCGGAGGGGATAAACTAAATAAACGAATAAAATGTTGAAAATAATTGAAAAATGATATTGTAGCAATATATTGCTTTTTTTGTTATAATGGTTTCAAATGATTCTTGATTTTACGATGTCCGTTCACCTATACGCGAACCWGTACGTACGTCTTCGAAAAAATCAATCACAAACTTTTCACAYGTTCTTTTCTCCTCAAGAAGCTGTTGAGTATAGTATAGCATAAAAATCGATCGTTCTAAGTCAACTCGTAGTAGGGAAAACTTTTTGTAACATGTCTTCACAAAATTTATTATAGATTCTTGTCCAAGGTAACGATATAATCTCCGARCATATAGGTCAGATTGGTCTATTATAGCATATAGCTAAAATACCAATTGACCGATTTAAATCTAGTTCTTRTATGAAATTTTTTKTTTTATTTGGCACAGAAGTCTTCCCAAAATTTGGCTTAGATTAATTTCAAAGGCATCTTTACAATTTCCGAAGACATTGTTCTGATCGGACCGGTGCAGCCGAAATTAACGTTTTTTTGTGTTTGTTGCTATAACGGTTAAAAAAAGGTATATCTATTTTTTTGTTGTTGCTGTTGTTGTTGTTGTTGTAACGGCAGAATTCTGCCGAGTTGACAGTCCTTGGCCGGATAAAAATCCGGGTCCGTTCCGGTTTTCGTAGACCCGACTGTCGTGGGAACGGTTGTTGCTCGTTGCAATGGGTTGTGGTTCGATTCCAAGTACGCCATTCACTGAGATAGAGTCGGTGAAGGTGTTAATGGCTCCAGCGGTCAGTGCGTGTCTGAAGTTTGTTGCGTCCGAAGTCTGGTCGGGATATGTTTTTTATTGTATATGTATTTAGTTGAAGTAGTTGAGGATGGACCTCTTGAWGCTCCTAGGAGGCGATTTCGCTCTAAGCAAGTGACTGCAGAGATGATTTCTGCGAAAGCAGCAGCAGAAGTTGCTTGAGGAGGAGTGTGCATTGTGCTCATYAACTAGGAGCATACGGGCCTCACTGTGCAAGTGTTCGATGGGAGAAATCTAAAGGCATCCTGTAATAGTCTTAAGTGCAGTGTTCTGACATGTAGCTTTTGGTATACATTTTATGAAATACGTCTTATCGTTCCTCTTAAGCTACTTTAATCGGTGAACGAAAACTCTTAATGCTTACTTTTTGTAGATTTTCATGGAACAAATCTATTTGCGCTGGCTGTGGTTTAAATCGTTCCCAGGGCAATGCGCCCATACCCTCGTGTATATTTGTGTAAATATAAAAATCCAGTTTCGGAATGGCGAAATGATGCACATACCAGCTGAACATATGCGAGAGTGTCACGTGTGAAGCTGTAATGCATTCAAAATAATAATTGCGTTTTTGCAATGTATAAAATTTACCTGGTAGATTATCCAACACGATGCTTAAAATATCTACCAACGATTTGATCATAATTTTACTTTTGTTCGCATGCTGTTCACTCCAAGGCAACAATATTTTTTCTTTGACTGTCAGCTGACGTATCCAATTCGCTGTCGAATTTTGCAGCGTCTCTTCGGTGTATGGCACCAACCACGGTGAATAGAGTTGAATAATTGAGCCGAAAACGACATCGCTAACTAAAATAAGAARAGGAAAATTGTAATAAAATTCATATATATTTAAATTTTTTTTAAGCACTCACTTTGATCCGCCAGCATATCCTGAAAAGTGCTAATGGCTGTAACCACAACAACATGACCCATGCATGAAAACCACATTGCCAATGGATTGCAGTAGTCTTTATGTTTGGGATATAAACCGTGCAGGCCGTGATGCAAACGCTCCTTCTGGAAGTGGCGCGCAAATAACAGTACCGTGTCTGTTGCGCCTTTCAGATTGAAAAGATTTTGACGACGCGCAAAATCTATTGAAATTTCAACGACTTCATCGATTTTCGCCTCCAGAGACATAGCTTTACTCTTGAAGCGCGCTAACAGTGAGTTTAATAAATCCAACAACACAACTGGCATTAAYTTTTGCTCCGATATGCGATCCAAAACCATTTGCAAAACTTCGCCATAATGTTGTGGGTAATCATACTCGAAGACGTGTATCAAATGACGACGGAATTGATCCTGAAGGAGGGAGGAATCGGGTTGGGACCAACATTCCAGCCCTTGCAGTATCAGCTGCAACAACTGGTTTATATCGCTAAGCTTCGGTTGGAAGCTTTCAAGCCAGGTTACCAAATCAAACTGTAGATGGCATGTGAAATAATATCAAAACAGTTGAAATTGTATTTTTGAACAAAAAATATTTACTTTTGATAAGAGTACAAAAAGAATTTTTGTATCACWGCGTTTCAAGTATGACTCCACCAGGAATTGGTACATTTTTAAAAAGTCTTGTGGCGGCGTGCGGTATGGCACAAATGCAGCTGCCAGCTGCTTTATTAGATCAACACGCTTTAGTGCTAGTTGCAAAATGTTAAGGCCTTGATTCTCTTGATGCTCATGCAGAAATATCTGTAGGAAGCGAATAATGGTTAATTAATGCTTGTTACATAGAAAATTATAGCGCTTACATTAAGCTCATATAAAAGCTGACTGTATAAGTCATTAGTTGGCTGGAATTTCATTGTAACATCTGTCAGATTTTCTACAACGGTATAGAAGAAATATATGCCAGTATTGGTGACAACAGTGGCTTTCTGCACCGAATTGTTAGCAATGAGTAAGCTGGAAAGGCAATTTATATATACTTTAATATTATRCGTCATAACTGGTGTTGTAAATATTACCGCATAATGCCGCTCARCTGTTCCACACAACGCGCAAACTCTTCCACATTCAGCTTAAGCATGCCATTTATAATCTTGTCATGACGTTCCTTATATTTATTTATCGTTCCCTCTACCCCGCTGTCTATGCGTATCTGTTCYAGTTTGGCGGTGATGCGCGCTGGATTGCTGCACTGCCGATTGAAGAGCAATGAATTGCAGCTTCGAATTTTTACTTCCTCGTAAGGCATCATTTTGTATAGCTTGGTAACCTGCTCCAAATAGTTGCGATTTAGRGAATTCAATTCACTGGTGTCGTAGTGGAATTTACTGCAATAAATTGTTAAATGAGTTTAACATAAGTCTTTGTGATTGTAATTTTTAACAATGCCTTACGTTGCCATGCTGTTCAGCGTTTTCAGCTTAGCTTGGAGTTCCGTTAAAGTTTGATTTGTAATTTCATTTGTTGTACTAATGACGGGTTTCGTATATTTAGGCGCTTCCAAAACCTTATCGTAGGATGATAACTGTTGTTTGATGCGTGTGGCTGGTTCAATGTGYGTTTTGGGTGGCAAAGGCGTGCGCAACTGTTTCATTGCTTTGGARCGCAGACATTTTTGTGCCCACTGTTGTGCTTGGTGCTTTTGTAATTTACGTATATCGGGCAAATAGAGAAATTCCGTCCAATGTGACTGGAAGAATCGACATTTAAATACTATTGCTTATTTGTTGCATTTTTTATAATAAAATGTACATACAGTGTTGCCATKCAAGATTTCGCGCAACTTTTCGTTATTATATTGTGGTGGAAAATTACAATCGTCTTTGCAATGTTGATTTATAACGGTTTCTTGCAACCATAGCACATAAGACTTCATAATTCTAGGTAATCAAAGTGACAACAAAGTAAAAATGTGGAATTGACAAAAAAAAAAAAATGCATGGTCGAAATTCAACTTACTTTGAACAATCATTGTAGAATATGCTTAAACTTTCTTCCGTTGCGCGCTTAGTGGCTTCATTTGCGTAGAAAACGTCAGCTGCCTTCAAGTTAGTGCTAATTTTTTTCATCAAAGGCCCATTGAATTCGTAAAATTTATCCGAAACTCCGTAAACACCTCCGAAACTGCAAAATGCGAAAAATACGCACAATGCACAATTAACACTATATCAAGAAATCTACATACTTTTCTGGATATTGGTAAAAACGGTTTATTTCCGAGAAAAGGAGGGRATTAAAAATAAATTTCTTTTCTTTTCGAAGTTATTTTCCACACCCGTAAAACTTATATTCGAATTTATAAATTCAGCTTAGTGAAAACTTACAGATGTAATAAGTTCCTAACAACGTATAAATATGGAAATCATCACTTTTTTCTCTTATTTTAATGATGTATAGCATTTTTCGGTGAAACTCCAAATGCTAGTCGCGTTAATATCCAAAACAAAAAWTTGACGAAATTGTGAAATTTATGTTCGAATTTCGAAACTGAGCTTGGTAAAAACATCATTATTATTTTAAATATATTTTTTTAATTTTTTCGAAGATCCGACAATGACAATGCGATTTTCGAAATATAATTTTTTTTTCGAAGATCCGATTTTGAATTTATACTCGTAGCATACATTATTAAGAACCTAAGATCGATTTTAAAATTCGAAAACAAATATTTCGACTTCGAAGATTATCTTCAAAAAATKAAGAAATTGATTTTTTGCTTCGGATGTAATCTCTAAAAAAATTATAATGATTTGGACAAATATTGACCGGAGTGTTGTAAAATGTAAAAAAAAAATATATGTATATATATAAAAAAAATGTATATAAAACACCCACCTGTACTCATCGCACTCCAAAGGCACTCTACTCAAATATAATTCGAAAAATTTCTGACACATAATCGGAAATACAGGGTGACCGATATCCATGCCTGCGATCACATTCGCATATTTATAGATCACAAGCAACTGCGGTGGAAATGTGTTCGACAACTTGAAAGCCGCAAATGTTTTCTGTTCGAAAGAGTTCAGGTAAAAGTTATACACAAATATAAAAAGGCCTCTACATTGTTCAATTACCTTCAATGCCGCCTCCAGGGAGTTTCTACCATTGGCCACAGCTAACTGGCGTAGAAATTCTGGCCAAAAAAAAGCTTCCTGCGTTTTAAACTCGATCTCCAGCAGCACCAGCGCCAACCAACCATAAAGCGGCGAAATTGTTGGTATGCGCAATTGCACAGAACCGAATAGCGTTTTTAGCGTGGACATTTTGCTAGCACCCTTCCATTCGTCACAGCCCTTTTGTGAATTTATTATTATTATTCATTAAAAAAAAAGCACACACAGCAACAACAATTTTTCACCTTGAAGTAGTTGTGAAAGAACTCCACTGCTTGATAGCGTGCATCCGAGAACTGATAGGCAATTCTTAGGATCATGTCCAGCAGATAGACAACATTTGTATTTTGCCAATTGGGGAGCGCGGTAAGCAAATTCAACCAGGCATTTATTAAATTCAGTGGCGTAGACAGACCGTAACTGCAAATATAAAAGTAAATAAAGTAAAAAACAAATACATATATATTAATATACGTGTACGTGTTTAGGACTCACTCAGTGTAACTTGTAATTTGGTGATGAATCATATTATCGAGCAACTGCAGTACCGGACCAATCGAGTTGGGATAGATCATGTCTTTTGCCATTTTCAAATAAGTGCGATCAGCGCTCAGTAAAGTATTTAATATTGCATGAAAACTAAAGTGCAAATGTTAAGTAACAAATATATTGACCTAAGTCACTAGTGAGTGACTAATCACGCACTTACTTTTCACAATTGGCTAATGTTTCGGGTGTCTCCAAAAATAGAGGCACTATCAATTCCAAGCAACGTATAACAGCTGCATGCCGATAGTCGTTTAAAAGCAGCTTCATTAGCTCGAGTCCCTTCTGGCAAATCAGCGGTATTGTATGTCCATGCAGGCTAACCAATACAGCGACATAAACGGAGAGTGGCCGATTTTCGGTAACGCCCTGATAAATCATCTCGATATGCTCCAGTTCAGGCACAAACATTAGCGGTTCAGTGGGGTTGCGCAACGTACGYTTTATCGACTCAGTACCTTGATCCAGCAAATGCAGACGCAATAGCGATATCATCGTCCAACACCAGGAAGAGAATTGCTCCTTTGAGGATATTGATAAGTCAATAAGATTTGAAACTTGCCGCACACTCTCGGAAATGCCAGATAAACCAATAACTTCGGGTGCATGCTTGTTCAGCGCTTCGGATACCAAACACGCCATGCGGATATGTATATTATGCGGTAAAAAGAGACGTCCATCATAATCGAAACTCCAATTCAAGTGACTGATTACAATGCGAGCAAGCATATTCTCTTGCGATGCATAGTCAAAATGGAGGAGCCAATTGGATAGAATTTCAAAACTGTCCATGCCAGGTTTCCAGTTCTCTAATGGTAATGACTTTATAAGATAGATGCCATTTTCGATTTCATTAAAGTGTACTTTAAGTTGCAATAATAAGCAAGTGATGAGATCTTCATAGGAGAGTGTTAAGTTTACAAGCATGTCCCGTGATGTTTTGTAGCAAATGTCGCGTGTGTTCACGTTCACATAGCCGATCTTTAAATATGTATTTTTATAGTAAATTCACATATTATTACATATGAAAATACTCACATTGAAGATGTGCAGACAAATTGTTTTTATTAACTCCCAATCTTTGGCTCTGTCGCGTTCATTGGCAATTTCGAAGAAGGCCTGTAACAGATAGTATAAGTCTTCAGCGGATGAATCTGCATTAGCAACATTGAATTTCTTCCAGAACTCTGGCGTGTTAATGAGCTCACTATAATCTAAAATTACGTGTGAAGGTAAGATAAATTCTAAATACACAAAACCTAACCTAATACCTATTTGAACTGTTGGCATTTCCGTTGGAAAACCGATATTTAAGTAATAAAATATTTGCCACGTAATTTCATTGTCAAGTGAATGGAAGGGCAGTGATGAAAAGTATTGCCATGTACTCAAATTTCGTGAACGATAAATATAGCTGCATGCCTTGAATAACAGCGTGTTTAGTTCCACGGATATGCGCTCACATGTTTTTATATCCTTGGGGATAGCGTTGTGCCTGTTAGTAGTTTTTAAAATTTAAGTTTTATATAATTATTAAAATTTAAGTTTTGCCTTACATGAATAGTTCGTAATAATCACTACTATATTGTAGTGTGTGGCGTATAAGCCGGCCCAGCCGCTTTGCTAGCTGTTTGTAACGCTCTGTGTTGTATGTCAACATGCCTTCACCGAAAATTTCTATCAAATTCGAAAAATATGTGATCACACGAAGCACATCATTGGCCAATATGAGATCTGGTGAAACTACATAGTCGTTTAGAAATTGTTCAATATTCAAAGCAGAACTGAAAGCGGTAAATGCACGTTAAATTCGTGTTTACATTAATTTTACAATAACGTCTAGACTAACATGAAGACTCTTCCAAAAGGTATTTGATTGAGAAAGGCAATCAAATCGCTCTCCTTCAAACCCACACATTCACCATTTGCATTGTGACTGTCTTCACCATCGGAATCAATGAGAATCCAGCGTTCATCACGCGCAGGATCTGATATTTCCTTGTGAGACTTTAAAATTATTATTAGTTGYGTTAAATGATTGTCAACATATACAAACATATTTACTAACTTTTTCAAAATCTTTCAGGTATTCGTTGCGTTTTTTTATGGGCAAAAGCAATATCTGCAATGTCGCTATACAATTACTCATTTCCGGTGAATTTATATTTAGTGGCATTTCACTATTACAAGCGCCGGTCGTAGCWTCGTTTGATGTGCTGCCGCCAAATGGAATTTGAAGCAGCTCAGTTGCCCAATCACCCACACCACTGGGACAGCGCAGTATGTTGAATAGTAGAAACCAGTGATCTTCTTTAGTCGCAACGAGCAGATGTAATGAAACCAATTTGCGAACCCACATTTTTAGATCGTTAGAAAAGTCCTGAAATTTTATTAAGCAATGACATACTAGCATAAAAGGTAAGTTGTGGGGAATGTCATCTGTACAAACCTTATTTGGGCTCAATTTTCGGACGAAATTAAATAAAATTGATATGGAGCGTCGCAAATGTGCCACATATGGAATTACTGAAGGATCGAGCTGCTTTTCTAAAGTAATTCTTTCCTTCTGCGCCAGCTTTGCTAGGCAGTTGGGTGAAATTATGTCGTCAATCATTTGATCTATCTGCAAAGCGAGAAAAGTCGTTTAGTGCGCTACGGTACTAAATTATTTCGAATTATAATGCAGAAAAATGTATAAATACCTTCACTTTGGTTACTTTTGCTGTTATTAAATTTGTGGTATGTGTGTTGCATACTAATTCATAGAGATTATTCAATGCGGCTGAAGTATTCTCTAGGTTCTTTCCATCTACTTGAGCAACACTGTTGAAATGTAAATAGTCAAATTACATTGAATAAATAAATAAAATTTAATATTATCGTTCATATGTTATTTGTAACTGTTTACAATTTTTRCTGGGTTTATTTTGACAAATTAGGCGCTAATAATTGTTTTTTGCTTTGTTTTTAACATGTCTATGAAAATATTGGTTTATTATAATTATTAAACCCTGAGGGGTAATTTCAAATAGGTAAACGAAAGAAATGCATACATACACATATGTGGGTATGGTATATATGTGATGAACATATGCAACGTGATAAATATCAGTCATAAAATGAACAATTTTATCAGAAATTATCTACAGTGTTATAGATTACAGGAGAATATATATTAAGTTTTGACTCATACTTATGACATGTGCACTTACTTGTATGTAACAGTTTCTTTTACTACCACTCTATCGCCACAGGACGCCGAAAAAGTCTTTGTGACTGGTACCTCCGTCCAAATGTTTTTCTGTGCATTTGTGACTAATTTTCTTGCTTTRTCTACGTCATACATATTAACAGAGAGTTTACTTTGTAAATTATAATATTCAAGCAGCGCTGCATAAAGCGGATCATTTTCATAAGTTTCCAACAAGGAGTTCATTAAAAAATCTAATTCGAATTGCTGCACTAAGTCTAAATCTGGGCAATGGTAAAGTTGCCTTCGTTGCTCCAACGTTAATGGCAGCAATTGACTGTTGGTGAAGGAATATTTAGGCGAAGTTGCTTTTGTTGGTTTATACACCACATTTGATTTTGTTTCCACATGCTGCAGGGGTGTAAGATTAGGATATTGCAAAACCGGTATCGTTTCTATGGGCGCAATTGGAGTTGGTAAAGTCTGTGGAACATAATCAATAGGTGCTGTTGGTGTTATTTTCAAATCTGTGGAAGATGGTGTAACATTTTCGTCTTCTTTGACCGCATCCTCATGAGCAAGCTCTTCTGCTGAGGAAATCTGTTCCGCCAATAAGGTGCCGGATGTTGGCATATTTTCAACCGGTTCCACATATTCAGAAGCTATGCCACATTCTTGGCTTATGATGTCGCGTGTGCTGGTAGTTGCAAACTGATCAAAGTCCACAGATTTTATATCCTCAATTGGCAAATCGCTTTTAGTTGTAGTCTCATTTATATCTTTTGACTGCTGCTCGGCCGCAGCTAAGGTGTTTCTRGATACTTCCGGTTTCTGTTTCGGTTTGGATTTCTTTGTTTTCTGCAAATTTTGAACAACATATTTAAATTTGCAAGCACTAAATTAATTATTATTTACCACTTTTGGTATTTCCAAAGTCGCCATTATATTTCTATTTTGTTATATTTACGTATGTGAATTTGCAATACACTAATGCGCAACAATGAAGAAAAAGAACAAAATGCAAATCTAAATTACTAGCGAAAAATCCCCGAATATAAAAATATAAATAAAAATATCAATTCCAATCAGCTGACTGTCATTAATAATGATGATGCCGTATTATCGGAGGGTGAATATTTTCAATAATAGAAAAATATTGTTAATAGTTAAAAATATGTGTATATAAAATGATCTTTGTTGTATATAAAACCAATTTTCGTTAATGTAAAGTAATATTTCTAAATATTGATAAAGATATTATCACATTTCAAAATATATAGAACTAAATCAGTTATTCCTCAACCRCATAGTAGGGTTGTATGGTGAGACAAATTTGCTGCAGCTGGCAGCCTTGCACCATCAGCTGATAATAACAAATTGAATTGTCATTTCAAAATAAACAATTCATAAATTGRTAATTAGTTTAATTCATTCCAGTATTTTTTATTCAGTGATGACTATTTATCATTTATATATTTTTGATAAATTCGGCACTATGTTGTATTATGCCGAATGGAACCGCACAAAAAAATCTGGTGTTAGCAGAGAAGAGGTGTGCTTTAAAATTGTTCTTATTTGTAATACTAATATGTTAATAAGCATACCATTTTAACAGGAAGCGAAACTAACTTATGGCATGCTTTTCTCAATAAAATCTTTTGTCAGTAAAATATCTCCACATGATCCCCGCGAAGGATTTCTTTACTACAAAACGAACAGATATGCGCTGCACTACATGGAAACACCTTCTGGCCTAAAGTAAACGATAAACTGCAATGCTAAAATGTACTTTCTCTAGAATAAACTCTTTCTAGGTTTGTGCTGTATACAGACACTGCCGCGTTGAAYGTGAAAGAGCTCTTGCAGCAGTTGTATAGCAAAATTTGGGTAGAATATGTCGTACGTGATCCACTTTGGAATCCAGGCACACCTGTAACATCGGAGCTATTTCAAACGAAGTTAGATGAATTTATAAAACAATCGGCATTATATGGCATACGCAATATATAAGACATCATAATCATTAGTGCAAATTTTCTTTATTTAAACAATTACGTTTCGTTGGGTGGGTGCACATTAACTCAATATATGTATTTATGTAATTAAATATTTCTTAATTTAATACAAAATATTTATCCAATTAATTTTACTTAAATGAAACTGCCTGCAATTGTAATCGAAAATTCCCTCTTTGTTTTTTGATCATGTTTCAGTATATCACCATTCCGAATGAGTTTGTTTTAAGTCTTATCAATGTTGGTTAGTAATAAAACAGTGCAGATATTAATAATTTGTAAGGTAATTGTGACTACGAACTAGAAAGCTTATTTTCTTTATAACTTTGAGTCTCCGGCTTGACACTAGGAAGTATCTATTGCAGTTATCCTTTGGCCTCGTTATACTTATGTGCATCAATTCGAAATGTTGAATTGGAATTTAGTGTCTATGTTGCATTTAGTTGTGGTTGTGGTAGCWGCAGAAAATATACCTGAAGTTGACATTCTTTGACCGAATTACAATCCGGCTTCGTTCCGGTTACTTTGTTGTTGTGTTCTTGTTGCGACGRAAACTATTTCCCACATAACCGTATATAACGTAAATAAAATTTCATAGACCATTTATATGTATGTCCTAAGCACAACTGCTTCTTTAATTTATTATGTACTTATAGTTTATGTTTTTTTGAAACTTAAATGCTAAATTTTTTTAATACATGCATTGTATATAATAGCTCTACATTTCATGTACTTATTACTAAGACATGAATRCATCATACAAATGTACATATAACAAATTTTTGTAAAATGTAACGTTAATTTATATACATTTAGCAATATACGTCAAAAAATATATTTATGTATATTGTTCCCACGAATGTGAACATATACCTCATATATACGTATGCATATACATGTTGAATCGGATCAGTACAAGTAGTCAAATTAATTAATGATCACAGTGTCTTCATCATCTTCACATACATCATTAATTGATGACTTAGTTAACTAACTATCTAAATAGTAATATTTCTAATATCTGTATGTGTGTATAAATTCTGGTGTAATTATCTTTACTAGCTAGTTTAGAAGCTTTTAAGTTATTTGTAACTTTCAGACTTAAACATTACTAACAATAAACTTCATATTTTCTTAAAATATATAGTAATATATAGTATATATGTATGTATATAATAACATTTGCAAAATAGYATTAAAATATTAAGTAAATTAACTTAAGTCTCTACAATGCAAATATCAAGGGTCCTCTCCGCCTATCATCATAGGTGATTCAGCAACTACCGATGCATATCACACTGTCTCTTTCTCTTTGAACTGCCGGTATGTGCCATTTTCGCCGGCGCTCGGTGGTGTATCCATTTCAGCCGCCCTCGCTTGACTACCCTTTGTTATGCTACGCTCATCAGCGCTGTCATTGTTGTGGCCATTTTGTCCATTGGTGAAAACAACATCAATGGGGTTACGTTTTTGTTTCTCATTGCTGGTGCCAATAATGATATTCGATTCGGTTTGTCCATCAAATGCCAGATTTACTTTTGCGCCCTTGGCTTTATCAACTGTGGTCAAATCACTGTTGGCATCACCGATTATATAGGGTTTGTCGCCGGGRAAACGTTCGCACCAACGCAATACCATCGGATGTAGGAGCTTAGCATCGTAGGCGTCTTTGGGATCACGTGTTAGATAACTGATTATGACGCCAACACCAACCGTAATCACAGCTCCGAGCAGACTGTAGTACATGTAACTGATGGAATAGAATGTCTCCATTGGGGTGCTGTAAGGAATATAAAAATTATTTTGAAATTTTATTATTTTGTGGGGAAAAGTGAAAAGAAGAAGGCTGCTTGCTTCGCGGCATTATTGGACATTAGTTGACATGAAGTTAATAAGCTTGATTTGTTTAAGCTAAAAGTTTGTTTTTTGCTAAAAGAGTGTGYTAGGGTCCTAGAAGTATTAGGTGAGGTTAGGCTAAGATGTCGATCCGAATAGAGCAGCTTACCACGTCATTTCGTTGTGGTATCTAAAACTCCTATATAATTGATTTGAAATCGGAAGAGCCCTTTGAACCTATTTTCAATTTGGTAASACCATGCAAAATATAATTCAATTGGCAAAATACTGAAAAACAAATTTTCCCTGTTCAATCCGCTTTAGTGTTGAAGCGTTCGGATCTGTCGTCTGAGCTCCTAAACTTTAAACGATTTTTTYTCGAATCTAAGTTTATTAATTTTTTTCTATGATACTTCTTTCCTTACTCTCAGAATAAATTGTCGAATTTGTGGCCCTATTTTGTGGGCTGTAGTTTGGCCTCACCTTCTAAGGACGCATCAGGATGGATACCTGTACTTAAAGACGGATACGGAGTGAAGTGACGTACGTATCGTATAGTTTTGGCCACAACGAATACGTTGCGCAAGTTGACAAAATCAGCGGTTCTTTATGAACTCCAACGTCAAAAGTCAATTAAATACTTTGCCGGATGCAAAAGTTGAGAGTTTTTTACCGGATGCTTCTCCGGTTAAGGACGCATTGTCACTCTGTCGCTCACCATATACATGCTTACATTCAACGGAGTTGTCTGTTGCATACTTTTCCGCTACGGAATCAACGTACACATTCTGACGCGCCCCTAGAAACCAATAATTCGWTCAATTTAAAAAAAATCTTATTTATTACCGTTCAGGCGCCATAATTGTTTCTTGCAGTGGCRACGAATTGTTGAGCAGCGAATGTGAGATCAACCAAGACTGTTCGAGGCCATTTGGTTTAGTTATAGACGCTGAGAAAGTAGTGTTGGTGCAGCCCTAAATTAAAAAAATAAAAAAAAAAGCATTAGCACATTAATCTAACGGATCTCAGAATAGAAGAGTATACCTCTGTGGACGTGGGCAGGAAAGTGTTCTGAGCAGTTTTGTCGACGGTGGCGCTGCCAGCGATGATCCATAGTACGAAAGCGCACGATGCAATCATGCCAGCGGATGTACCCTGTAAACAGAAGACGAACACAARTTTACTTAAGAGTCTCTCACACGCCGCTTAACGTAAGGCCGGCACGCAATGTTACGCCCACTAATTAAAATCAATCAACAAGTTCGTACGCAATACCGTTGACCAACCTTACGTTGTTGTTGTACGGTGAAATTTGGTTATCATAGGACAAATTAATTACCTTCCAATTAGCAATCGGCACCAGCATGGCCAACATGAAGCAGCCCAATAACGGGCCAGATGTAGCCGAAAACGCCAACATCGATGATTCAATTACGCCGGACAGTAGACCCACACCAAAGGCAACGCCAATTGTAATCAAGCCACAAATGACGGTTATAATCTTTAGGATGAAAAGCTGTTGCTTGTCGCTGAGTCCCCTGAATTGTGGTATTTGCGAGACGAAATCTTCCCAGCAAACAGTGGCTAATGAATTTAAATTCGAAACCATCATGCTGTTGGGCCGACGCAAAGACAAAACAGCGGCATATTTGTGTGTAAAGAAGAGGAAAACCGAGAAATAGGAGAGCAGAGAAGAAGAACAGTATAAGTACGAGTAATTTGATGTAGTGTAATTTGAGTAATTTGAGTGCTATAAAATGTGATTAAGTGTTCATAAATTGGCACTAAATGTGGACTAATTAAAAGGTAATCTATAACAATGGTTTGCATACATACCATAAGGCACCATTGAAGAGCATGGCCATGAAGATGCCCACGAAACCGGGTATTACGGCCAACTGGTCCTCTACGAAGAATGGCAAAATTTCATCTGGTTTTTGTATGTAGCCCTCTGCGTATGGATCACAATTTATATAGCTGGCATAGATTACCATACCCGAGAGCCAGGAGAGCGAGAAGAATACGACGATGATGGGAATATTTGTCATCATGACGCTGTAAATGGTTTTTAATTATATTTYAGCTTTAAAATAAAATTTAAGCATAGTTCGGCACTTACCGCCGCACATCACTCATGGATTTCAGCGAAACATAACGTTGCATGAAATTTTGCTGGCAGCCAAATTGTGACAAGGACATGAACAATTGACCAATCCAAGCGGAAAGCGTGTCCACGCGCACGGTCATGTCGCCGGTGAAGTTGAAGAATGTTAAACGACCTGTGAATGAAAGTAAAATAAAGTAAAAAATAATAATGAACAATAAAAACATTTAGAGATGTGATGTTACTTTATTGCTTTAAAAATATATAATAATATGTATTCTATTTATTAATAAATCTTTAAAGATTGAACCTAAAAGTTCAATAATTGAATAAATGAAAGTGCAGAGTATGTAAGTAAGTGAGAAAAGAAAGAGTCTTACTCTCAATGAATACCACCTCAATGGCCGATAGAACTTGCCGCAGTTGAAGAACAGTTACGAAGTTCCCACAGTATTTGGGTCTACTTAATCGGATCGGATCGGAGTCGGATTTTATTTGTTAAGCACTATTCAGTCGGTAGCATATTCATCATATTAATTCATAATATTTAATGTCAGAACAACAACAATTGCTCGAAAGTTTGTGGCCAGTTGAAGCATTATAAATTCTAAAGTAAGGTTCGTTTCGAGGTTCCCTCTTTAAAAAAAAAAAAAAAAAAAACACAGAAACTTCAAATTTAATGGGAAATATTTATTATCATTCGAAAGAACATTCTTTGACATGTATTTTTTGAAGATCATCTCTTTATCCCCGAAGCAAACATTGTTCGCTGCGGCTACGTCCCAGATGGTCCATCCGTTGAGTCCATTTTCGATGACTTGTTTGAGCATTTCGACGGGTAACTGCCGATGGACACGAGTGATGTTTTGTCCAAAAGTGAACACACATATCTGCCGATTCACCGATGAATCCACCGGCCTTCAAATCATATCAAACCTTCGTTTTTTCTGGACGAAATAGCAGCTCTTGAATCACTTCAGGTTGCTCTTCGTCCCAAACGCGGCATTTTTGCTTGTTAACATACCAATTTGGCTAAAAATTGTTGGATCTTCTTGGAACTTTTCAAGAGCCCATAAAGCGAAGCGACGTCGCTTAGGAAGGTCGAGRGGCTTCARTTCTTGCCCAAGCTGTATTTTGTACGCTTTCAATTAAAGATCTCGACCGAGCATCCGAGTTGCTGCGTATGGCACCAAATCGACTCTCGGTCTTCGTGTACACTCTCAGCTACGGCTACTATATTTTCTTCACTGCGTGCTGGACGTGATTTATTACGTGGAATATTATCCAATAACGAATGCTGGGTCGCAAGATGAGTGATGGTGTTGCGAATAATATGCTTGTCTGGCAAAAAAAGGCAATTAGAAAAAGTACCTCTACTGGGATATTATGACCTAAATTTTCTCTACTATTCGATTCCTCGGCGTTTCTAACTATATCTAAAACAGTTGTCGCACTCCATTTATCAGTCGATTTTGTGAGAATTGGCAGCGTAAGGTCTTTTAAGACACTTGATTGGATTTTTCTATTAGATCTTGGCAGTAAGTTAAACTTATTTAATGCTTTAATGTCCATACTGCTATTCTAGCGCCATTGAGGCATCAATCGTTGCAAATTCACATACAAATCTACACATAATGAATATGAGAGAGCAAGGRCTGCCTAGCTWTTGTTATTTCGTACAATTTTCACAATCTATACCTTTGCCCTAGTGAAGGCGTTAGCGGAAACCCCCTTTCTGTGCCACGTTGAGTTGCTGTCGCATTTTTGTGGAACATAACCGTATTGACGTTAAATATTTTAGCCAAMAGTTGTTGTTTGTTTATTTCCTCACATACTTACACCTATGTATATGGCTATGGGCATAGTAGGGTTTGCGTACGCACGCTTGTTGAATAAATTTGTTGTARACATACGGCCGCCGCAGCACCGTCTCTCYTCGTTCTCGCCCTCTTGTCAGCTGTTGCGCGCGCTTTCGTCGTGCGCTCACCCAACGGTCATTCATGTAATTTGTGCTTTGTACACATTGCGGAGCTACGAATATCACAATCTTTTCGTACCGACGGTACATCAGGTTCCACCCAAACCCACAATTTGCTTGTTTTGCCTATTTACTTTCTCACTTTACCTTTTAACCGATTTTGTGGTAAAATTATAATAAAAAGTAAATAAAGAAAAAACTAAAATCGGTTTTGTACACWTTATCCTCGAAGCAAACACAAATCTGGTCAYATATACATATGTACATAYATACATGTGTATGAGTATGTATAAATGATTGTCACACATACACTGGAGGTGTTGTTGTTTGTTTGCACACGCATASGAATTTGTAGCATCTACGCTTTGAGTGCCAGTTATGAGTGGCACTTTTTGCGCCAATAGCAACAACAACAACAAAAAGCAAGAACTCTGGCAGAAGCTTAATGCCGATAAGACTTGAATGGTTAATAAGATATAAAATGAATGATTTGTTAGGTTGCCATTGCCTTCTTGCTTTGGCATTATTGTTGTTGCGGTAATTTGTGTATGCCTGCAGGATATTGACTTGAAAATTGTGGCTCGTCTAAATAGCAAGCTTGGCACAAATAGTTATACCTACATACACATACATATGCATATATCCGTAAATACTTCACATATTCCATCTCTCTGTGAAATAAAGACGCACACACACCCACTTACGGTAGAGGAATAACATCCTAGGTGAAGGGAGTGTCGCGTCATTTCATAGGCGGTTGATCTTTTATGTAGTTTATGTATTTAAAATGAACAATCTTGCTTTAGGTAATTTAGATAATACATATACAAACACAGTTGCACACCTACACATGATTAGAGACTTTCTCATTGCTTTTCTAAGTAAATATGTTTAAATTTCCATACGGTAAGGCTCTCTAAATTAAATTAGCTAATGCGAGGCTTGACGAAGTATTAGGAACATCATAATTTAAAATAAACCTTAAAAAAAAATTAAATATTTGGTTTAAATATGCATATTTTCTATTGCATTACACCTAAATAATTAACAGGAATAATTAACAGGAAGTTCGTATTTTCAGTTAGAAATAGCCGGAGATGATCAGGTCCAAAAATCCATTTTCATATATACTAAAAAATATTCCTTCATTTATATATCAGATATGATAGTAAGGCTTAGCAGCTTGTCGTAAGCACTCACTCTCACATCACCTCACTCTTTCTTGTATAGAGTTGTCTTTGATCTAGTGTTACCTAAAGAATATTTAACCAGCGAAGGTAACATTGGAATAGCAAGTCAGATTCTATGCCTGATCTAGGGACGGTACTTGGTCTTTTAACTCTTAAAGTTGAGGCCACTGACTCCGAATTTCGGTAGTTAATTTTAATAATTTCGACTCGTTCTTGGATAATATATCTTTCCAAACCTTGCTGTAGAGAAATGTTGTCAAAAGAGCGGGAAAAAATATGGCATCGTTTGCTGTACCTATTGGCCTACTTTCGCAGTTCCATATTGGAAAACTCTGTATATGTAATCTTTTGTGAGGCTATGAAAACAGAGCCCCTTTATTCGATCTTATATGTCAGCAAAGCGCCTTGTGGCCAATACAAATTKGCTAAGGCCGGTTTCCTAACGCTTAAGCCTTAAGAATTCCAATTCGTATCTTCCATTCAGCTTATGTAGCTGGTGTCCGATAAAATTCTTAACATTACACCCCGACTGTGCAATAGGCTGTTAGAACTTCTACAACTGAGGCGAGGCTAACCTTACTGAGTGCTCACTCCATCTCCTTCGATTGGTCTGGAAGCGCCAAAGGGATCTTACGACAGCGCAGGAACCGATTGTGCCCCAGTACTGGCTAAGCTCTCGCAAAGCCCAGTTGTAGAACACGTAAGGAGAAACACGAAAAGCGAGGCTTGTCACTTCATCAGCTTTACAATTACTTGCGATTCCACTGTGGCTTGGCACCCATACTAGCTTTATCACAAATTGACTCGATGTCATTGATAACCAGACATTCCTGCATCAGCTTTGAACGCTYTCTTAGTGAACTTAAGGTTTGTTTCGCCGCCCTGCTATCAGAGTGGATCGTCACTTCTCTGAAGGAGCCGACACTCCGGTACAGTGAATCGCTACCTTAATCGCAACAATCACCTGAAGTTGATAAATATTTCCTGTCAATATATCCATCTAACAACTCTCTTCCACTCTCTTCCAACGGCTTCTACTCATCCACAACTTCCTCGCAGGTATTTGGATGATGAAAAAGATTTCAGAGCTTGGTTTGGTAACTACAGTGAAGAAAATTACATTGAACTACCWGTGAGTAATACGAATCACAAATTGTAGATCAGGTAGTGATCAAGTATCAAGTTTCTTGTTCTAAGGGAAAACAGTGTGGAGTTGCATTTGAAATTCTTACATCGGTAGCACAAAAATTATTGAAATCTTGAACTTACCGAATAATTTCGAAGACTTTTTGTTATTTAATAATTTTTTGGACTCTGCCTTCGAGGCATTCCGAATCATTTCCCATTGACTAGAGTTGTTGACAAACGTTACTCTCAAAATTCTAATTGAAATGGATACGTTGTTACTTTTAGAAGAAAGGCATAAATCAAGCCTTAATTAAAAAAAAAAAAAAAAAAATTAAATCAAAACTCTCTTTTTGCTGAAATAACACGCCTTCCTTAGATTTTCCACTCCATATGATATGTTGAGGCGTAAAATCTGGAATATTAAACTCTAACATTTTCAATAATGAGGTTATTAACACCAATATATATGAAATACCTCGAGGGGTACATCTGTTAGAAAACTGCGTCAACCACATAACTATATAAATATGAATATTCTGCTGCCGAAAATTTCTTCTTTTCATTAATTTACTGTATTTTTTTTCATTTTTTCGTGTCATTACTTTACTTCAAACAGGCGCGCATCGGATTTCAAATTACATATGTACGTACACATGTGGGTGGGCATGCGAGACCGACTTGTAGCACAATGATTGATACCACAACACATTCATCATAATGTATAGCGGCATTCAATATTAATAAATTGGCGCATTTACTCAATGACAGTGCGTGTGGTGGTGGGGGTTGGAGGTGACTTGAGTGATGCTTTCGAGCTTTAAACAGCTGGCAAGTGCCGTTTGCGGTTTGCGTCAGTGTGGAGTTACAGAAAGTGATGCGTCAAAAAAATTACAAACAGAACCGAATAAAAATAAATAGCACTCCGTGGCAGTCAATAAACCAAAGGGTCCCCTTGCGAATTTCTCGAAAGCGTAAAATAAAGCTTTGGCAACGGAAGCGCTTGAATTGGGTTGCGGTTGCTGCTGTGAGCGACGCCGAAAATATTGCATAATGTGGGAATAAATATTTATTGCGGTAAAGGTTGATAATTGAATTAAGTAAATTTAATGTGATGCGCTTATTAAAATATCTATATCTATGTTTGTATATTGAACTTTGTTGCCTTGTATATAAGGGTAAAGGATACATAAATATAGAAAAAAGGAGACTTTAAAGTTATTTTTGTAACTTCTACATATTTTTCGCGTAATTTTTTAGCGATTTTGGTCGAAACAGTTTTGTCTGATTTCTTTGTGATCTTCATTTAGTAGATTAAAGTTATGCCGATAAAATCATCTATAGAATCTGTATAGAAAATGTTAAATAATATAAGACACTCACCGTTATCGCGATTCGTTTCGTAAACGTGTTGTACGCCTCCACTGACCATGAGACCTTTCACAATGACAGCTAGTGTCACCAAAATTACCGTTACTATTAACGTAATGCCGCCATATCAGTAGATCAAGCAAAGCAACATGAAATAAAAATAAGTAATCGAAACAAAATAAATAAATTGAAGTTGGATCTCTAAAAACTTATAWATGTATTGAGTTTAAATCGGAAAAATACTCACCAGTTTGAATGACATCGGCATTAATGGCTGCTTTCAGACCGCCCTGTGGACAGAAGGAAGAAAAAAAGTTAAGATTTGACCAAAAAATAATAAAATTGTTAAAAAAAAGTATTATCACTAACACTTAAACTTTTAAATGCATCACAAGATAAAATTAAAAACACAATAACTTGGATAATCGAATTTTTCACATACATTATTAGGTTATGTGAAAAAGGTGTCAATACAAAAGTAAAAGCAAGGTAGCTTTTTTCTGTAGGACTTTTAGTTTTGATGGAAATCTGCTTAAGCTTTTTTAACCCTTAAAAAATCAACGAAATGCCTCCCTTTGTGCTTCCCGATCTCAGATCGCCAGTAAATTATTTTTTCTGTAATCTTGAATCGCTTCCAATGGGTTTCACCCTACTAGATTTTTGTTCTTTCATAAATTATCTAACCTGTTCTATTACAAAAAGTTTGGAAAATGTGTTTATAATACTAYAGGAGCTTTGAGATTTTAATATCGAAAGCTAAGGCCTTAATATCTAACAATACATTGTTTTGAGGTTCCTTGGATAATGTGATCACAGCTTACTATATTTATCCAAAAATAAGAAAAAACGTTAACTTCGGTTGCATCGAAGCTAAATACCCTTCACAGGTGCATTTATGTTAGTAACTATATGTTCAGTTTGTATGGAAGCTATATGCTATAGTTAACCGATTGGAACAATTTCTTCGGAGATTACATTGTTGCCTTAGAAAATTATCTATACCAAATTTCGTGAATATGTCTTGTCAAATGTGAAAGTTTTCYATACAAGAACWTGATTCCGATCGTTCAGTTTATATGSCAGCTATATGTTATAGTGGTCCGATATCGGCAGTTCCGACAAATGAGTAGCTTCTTGAAGAGAAAATGGTGTTTGCAAAATTTCAAAACGATATCTTAAAAACTGAGGGACTAGTTCGTATATATACAGACAGACGGACAGACAGACAGACGGACACGGCTAAATCSAATCAGCTCAACATACTGATCGTAGGGCCKACGACGCTTTCTTCTGGGTGTTACAMACTTCGTGACAAAATTAMTATACCCTGTTCAGGGTATAATCAATTAACTCCATGGTTTCGAAAAATAATAAGAGCTTTAAGCTTGATTCACTGTATAATAGATAAAATCTCTAACCTTTACAAAGGAAAAGAGCTTTCAAAAATCAATCAGCTCTTTGTTCTCGGAAAAGTTGCGAACCATTTACCAAGGGTTAGAGCTTTTAGCTTGATTCACTGTATAATRGATAAAATGTAATCTTTACAAGGATTAAGAGCTTTAAGCACGATCTACTGCATGTTATATAAGACTCATAACTGGAATAAACAACGCTTTGAGTTAGATTTTTTAATCTATAACTTTTTTCATATGAAACACTAACTTTGCTAGTTTTATTTGTAGAAACGCTGTTGATTCAGAATGAAGCTTTTTGATAACGCTTGAAAATATAAGCAGCTCCAATTTTTTCTAATATGTGGCACTTCTTTCGACCTTAACTTTAATACGGATATTGGTAATAGMGCATATTATTAAACATTCATCAAAGTTATTAATTTCTCCGAAGTATCTAGTAGTGGTAAAAGCTTGCGACTGCGGTTTGGAAGTTTTTATGTTAAACAAGAAAACTTTTTGGAAACACAGACCAATTTACACTTATTTAGGAAATAAATGTAATAGTCGTGGCAATGAAAAGTGTCAATAACATGTAAAATTAGAAAAAAGTACTGAAAAAAAAATGCTTTAACTGAAATGCTCCGAGCTAAGAACGAGAGCCTCTTACGCTTAATTAAAAACAATTCGTTTAAGGGGACAGCATGTCAAATATATTAAATTAACCACATATTGACAAGTGTGGTACTTTTTTGCACACAACTGCATTCGCATGCTTTTGTGGTATGAGAGCTATGCAGTATTCAATCAAACTTTTTGCTGGTATTAGTGCTGTTCAGAGGATTTCGATAAAAAAAAAAAACGGTGAAAAACAATAAAAAAAAGTGCATATATACGTGTTTATTAGGGTGGGTCAAAACAAAATTCAAATGTGTTTTTTTTCGTTTGGTACTCTAAAAAATTGGTTGATAGAGACTTCTAAGCGTTTCTTAGCGGTCCAAAGTATGAGCCCTTACTTGTAACGAATAGAAACCGTTAGGCGAAGGAACTTTCCATTTCAAAGAAGAGTTCACAAAGGGTTGTAAGGTTTGCCAATTCATCATGGAAAGATATGCGATCCAACAACAGATATACATATATACGATTTACTCGGAGTCAGTGTCCTCAACTTTAACAGCGCTATGTCCGAATAAATAATTGAGCGTCTAGTGGAAAATTTTCAATTAAAAGGTAGAGTACAAAATGTTCTCGTGTCAGTGAGACAAAGAAGTGCTCGTAGTGTCGAGAGTATAGCTGCCGCTAGCGCTGTCTCTTATACACATCTAGATGTGTATAAGAGACAGACAAAGAAGTGCTCGTAGTGTCGAGAATATAGCTGCCGCCGTAAAGCTCATCAATTGAGGAAGACCCAAATCACTCTCTCACACGTCGTTCTCAAGCGTTGCACACATCTGTGACATCGTTGTGGCGAATTTTACGGAAAGATCTTGGCTTATATCCTCACAAGATGAAATGTCGAAAGAACTGAAGCCGCTAGACCACCAGAACTGAATTTGAAAATTATTCTAATTTTTATCGAAAAATCATCTTCAGTGCTGAGGCTGATTTCTGGCTGAATGGCTTCATCAATAAGAAAAATATGCGTTATTGATCAGGCAGCAATCCACACGTACTAAATTAGTCTTCCCATTACATCCCGAAAAAAATATGGTTTGATGCGGTTTATGGGTTGGCGGAGTCACTGAGCCGTACTTTCTCCGTGATGATAAAGATCGCCACGTTACTGTGAATGGGAATCGCTACCGCTCCATGGTAACCGAATATTTTTGGCTGCGCCACAAGCCACACAGCGAATGTCACAAACGATTTATTGAAAACCAAGTTTGGTGAACGTCTTATCTAACAAAATGGCTCAATGGCGCCTCGGTCGTGCGATTTCACGTCGTTAGACTATTTCCTGTGAGGCTACGTCAAGTCTATGGTGTTTGTCAATAAGCCAGCGACGATTGATGAAGCTCGTGGCAATATCGAACGTAAAATTGCAGTAGTATCGGCCAATTTATACTTAAAAATCGTCGAAAATTAAGTTCAACGTCTGGACTTCTGCAAGTCTGTCCGTGGTAGCCAAGAAATCTAATTCCATACACAATGTAATCGAATGTACTTTTACAGGAATAAAAAATTCGTTAAACAACTTCTGTAGCGCTCTTATTGAAAAACCCTTTACATGGAGATCGTTCCTTAGAAGTGTCTATCAACTAATTTTTCAGAAAGCGAAAACAAAACATTAATGTTTTTTGACWCAYCCTAATGTAACACATTTATAAGGATTTATGAGCATGTACACTCATATTGGCTCAAAATGGTAGTAAAAACGCTGGATCGCTTTATTTATATGAAAAGTGATMAAATAATGTGAGTACAAATTTACACTGGATTGACAAGCATTCAAGCACGAACACACATATGTACATTCACACTCATAAGGGACAAAAAATGATTGTTAAATATTTTTTGTTGGTCGCACACGCTGCGCTGTTGTACTTACCATGATGGTGAAAAATATGCAAATCACAGCCATGCCCACAATGGATGCCCAGTAGGGAATGCCAATTACGGTCGACAATGCGACGCTGGGTGTGTAGACTGCAATGCCTAGAGAGCAAAGTTGCCGCACAATGTAGGTGCCGGAAGCGAGGCAGCGCACCAGTCGGCTCTTAAATCTACAAAACAAAACAAGTGAGAATTACATACGGGTGAAAAAAATTAGAGCAAATTATTTTTTGTGCAATAAAAGAGGTTATGCAAATCGCAGTGATTGCAATAAATTGCCTAATGGCTTTTTTTGTGTGTGTGCATATAACGGTACCTTAATTAAATTAAATTCAATGGGTAATTGTGYGCCACGTCAAATACTGCGGAGCGGGTAATAGCTGACATCTTATGGCGGCGCAAATTAAAGTTTTAAATAAATTTCAGTGTTTACGGCACATTTTCAGCGCGGCTTTTACAATTTGATTTTACTATAATTTTTTATTATTTGAGTATAAGCCGAAATACTTGCTTTTTCATGTCGGCAAAGACATTCACGCGCAATTGGCCGTCCAAGCGCTGACATTTTCTTGCTACCAAAGTTTTTATGGCACTTGTTTCTGTGTGTGTTTCAGCTTTCTCATTTCATTTTATTTGTTTTCATTTATTTTTTACTTTTTATAGATTTTCACCTACACTTTTTATAGTGCGTTGGCGCAGCGTTACACCTTGTTTGCTCTGCACTTTTTTTTGACCGCCTTCCGCGTTACCTCGTTTATGCGCACRATTCTTTTAATTAAGCAACAACAGTTGCAACAATAAGTACATACTTCTAGAATGGTTACGAGCACTCCAAACTATGTTAAGTGCGTAAAATACTTTCATGAGCGCCCATAACGCTTGTCGCCATTGCAGCATTGCAGTCATGCAGTACAAATACTGCGAGTATATTTGAGTATTTTCGTTAAGGCATTACTCTTTTAAGTGCTAACTTTTATATACAAGGAATCACTTCGTGTTTCAGCTCCGAATATGCAGATTTTGCTATTTATTTGATCGCCCAGGTCAAAATTAGTCTAGTTTATTGCTTAAGACCACTGACTTCAAATAACCCTACAAGAAGTGGTCTAATGGTTTTAAATCACAAGATCTTGGACCTCCTGCTCTCCACTAGACCCAAAACCACACCAAACTGACAAATTAAGTGAATGTAATGATTGTAATTTCCTTAAAATGTCTCAATACTTGAATTTGGAGGATGGAGTCATGTGTAGAAGTTCACGTAAGTGAGGAAAGTTCTCTGATCGCCATTCACTTGGGAAAGGCCAGAAACGATTCTTTTACATATGACTCAAACAGCTCACGACTTTCGGTCTTTGACCAAGTATCCTCTGGGTAGCCTAAGAATATCCGTTTGAAGGCGAGYTAAAGTGAGAAGGCGAAATATCCACTACGTAGGGTTATGCGCTGGGCTTGGGACCCGCCATGTCAAAAACCCCCCCAATGAAAAATTCACAACAGTCTCGGATGAGAGACCCCCCTTTTGATGGCTACTTCGGACTAAGTAGGCAATTGAGAAGCAAAGTCTTCTCTCGACAAACAAAAACCAAACTCTATAAGTCACTCATAATACCCGTCCTGCTATATGGTGCAGAGACTTGGACGATGACAACAACTGATGAGTCGACGTTGCGAGTTTTCGAGAGAAAAGTTCTGCGAAAGATTTATGGTCCTTTGCGCGTAGGCCACGGC